GAGTTTTGACCTCTTATATCAATTACCCATTGTACTAGTTAGTTGTAGTATAAGATTTTTAATGTCAATCCAAGGGGAGTTGTTGAATACAAAAGAGTTGCAAGTAGAGGACCTTAAGTCAAGTGAAATAGAGAGGTTTTTGTTGCTTAAGCAACTGAACTAACAACCTAAGGTGATCATATACCAAAGAGAACTCAAGAAAGAGCAGTTTAGCAATGATCAAATAAGCAAACACAGCAAATAACCAGAGCACTTAACAAAATTCGAAATTCAATAAGGAGAAGACAAGTCCCTATATGTGGTTATTGATTTTAGGGGAGTTTATAAGCTAAATAAGGCTGTTACAAACATCACGTATCAAGCAAACAAGCTACTAATGCTGATTCCTAGACATAGAGTTCACAAACAAGCAAGCTAAGTTCAATCCCTTGATAAAAAGCACTTTGCTAAACATCTTAACAAGAACTAATTCTCATTAGTGCTAAAACATTCAACAAGCATGATAAACCAACTCTATTGATGTCAAAATACTCCTTAAACAGTCAATCTCCTGAGCTAAAGCCAATAAATCCTCTATTAAACAAGATCAGCATTTCATCAAACACTTAGTGGACATAAGAGAAAGCCTAATTCTAGATTCATGAGATCAAGACAAATCTAGCTTAAGAACAAATTAATAGAGAGAAATCATTGTTATTAAGCACTAACAAACCTTAGATAAGCTTCTAAATCCCCATAATTTACCACATCTAAGAACTCTATGCAGACTACTCACTAATAGCCATGTTTAACACCAAATCACAAAGAGAAAATATGCTAATCATGATTAAAAGAAAGATTAAGAAAATATTAAAGGCAAATACAAACTTATATTAAGCAAAGAAAGAAATTGTCTTACAAACAAAGAGAAATCACTCAAGAACAGTAAACTGATAAGACATGTCTCTAAAATCCTTAAAACATGGTATTTATACGTAAAAAAAAATGCCCTAACATAATGGCAAAATGGTAATTAAAAAGCAGGTTCGGGTTGGTTCCTATCGGTCTCCATGTGACCGATAGCTTGATCGATAGGCTGGCTATTAGTCTTAAAGATGATCGATAGGGTGACCGGAATACACCTGATATAATTATATCGGTCACTATCTTGACCGATAGCCTGATCGATAGCTCCCTATCGGTCACTCCTTGACCGATAGCCTTCGTGCCTTGACCGATAGGACATCCAGAAAACGTCTGCCTTGATTCCTCTTGCTTCATCTTAGCTTAGTTAGCCTCTTGGTTCATTCCCATAGCTCCTCCTTGTTCCCTATAGCTCCATAAGCACCTAAATACATCCTTGATGTAAAGAAAATGCAAACTGCATCCTAAATGCAACCTAAATCTAAAAGGGGAAGAAAATGGGACAAAAGATAAGGAAAACATGCAAAAGAGAACCAAAACATGCACTAAATGCAAGCTTAAATGATGCAAATGTATGAGATATCAGAAAGCCAAATTATCAGACCAAACAGAAGCTGAAGCAGACAAACTTTGCTTTTGATCCAAATGAAGTTAAGTTCTTACCATAGTTTTAGATCCTAGGGATCCTGCAATCGAATTCAACAAGTGCTGACACTTGTAAAATGGCTATTCAATTTGGTCACCTGCAATTTCAGTTAGACAATATCACATCCAAAAATCCTGAAACAACCTCTAAAGTCTGTTTTTTTTTGTTGGTAAAGATAGAAAAAGAAAGAAAAAAAAATGAACCAGGGTATCAGAATTCTGATCTTGCATTCCATTTTTATTTTAAAAATTTATAGAAAAATAATTCTGATAGATTTTTTGTTTTTATTTGAAATAATTTAAAATATTATTTTACATATACTAATTCTTTTATGCACATATCTTTTCTAACATATTAAAACATTATTTCATAAATCAAGTTGTGTATATGTTGTGATCCATTATATTTTATATTAATAAGTATATCAAAATTAGGAACAAAAGTATGCTTAAATTTTAATAAACAGTCAAATATTAAATATACTATTTTACACCTTAAATCATATACATATAAGTTTAGATCCGACTGGTTTAAATGCTGTAGTTACAAAGAGTTAGTGAAAACGAGCGACTGCGGGTTATAAAAAAAATTGACAAAGAGATGACTAGAGAGCTACTGAAGAATTTTATAAAATTTGTTTTGAAAATTTTATAATAAATGTTTATTATATTTTTTTATTAAAAACTATAGATTATAAAACGCTGAAAAATAAGAAATTTTGATTAAATACAAAACGATAAACGCCAAAAACTGCAGAAGTATAATATTTGTGAAAAATATCAGAAAAACTAACCAACACCTAAATATTACAATTCACTTATTTCTAACTCATAACTATATGCATAAATATGCATATTATTTTTTAAAAAAGAAATTCAACCATACATTATAAAAATTTATATTACAAAACATATACTTTTTTTATTTTCATTTAACACATAAAAGCCATACTTTGATTTTTTACAAATATGAATGTAGAACTTGACGTGCATACACTTTGTTAACTTCGATTACAATCTAATTTTAATTTTAGTTATTTGTCAATTTATATATTTTCTTAAAAAAAATCTCTCTAAGTCCTAAGAGCGGTGAGGTGGTTGATACACATGAATGTGTGGATAAGTAAAGATGGTAAAACCCAATTAGGTTTAATTAGCAATAAGTCAAAGAAAAATGTATACTTAAAATATATATATTTACAATATTATATTGTGTAAGGGGAAAAGAAAGAATAGTATAAATAATATTAAAAAATATATTATAAGAATTTAATTATTATTTAATATAACTTTTACATTTGCGATTATATATTACTGTAAACGCTAGAAAAAATAAAAAGTTTCTAAAAGACACAAACAAAATGAACCGTTTGTGTTATTGTTGTTAAACACTAAAATTGAATATGTATAAAAATATAACATTTACGTAATATATAAAAAAATTAATAAATACTTAAATATTACAACTAATTATGTCTATAAAAAAATTATACATGCACATGCGTGCATACTAAAAATAAAAATTAAATAAATTATTATATATTTAATATTTTCAGTTTATTTATTTATCATATTTACACTTTTTATCTAAGGAAGTATTTTATATTCTTGATAATTATTTTCATTTTTATTAAAATCTATCACATTTTTCATTTAAACTATCATTAATTTTTATTATTAAATATTTATGTAATATTATTATTAATATATAATTAATTATATAAATAGAGCATTTTTAATATACAATATTAATTATATATACAACATATAAAATATTTTATAGTCCGCATACGGTGCAGACCATTCACCTAGTTAAATTTAAACATTCAAAATTACAATATAAACCTTCAAAAATACACCATAAACCCAAGGGGAGGGTATTGAAACTAAAATTTTAGAGAATTTTAAAAGATTTGAGTTTTAAAGAAATTTTATATAATTTTATGTGGATTAGAGAAGTTGATATGATTGAATATTAAAATTATATGAAATCTCACCTAAAACAACGAGATTTGGTTTTTTTTTTTTTAACTAACAAACTCCACCAAATCATTTAAAAGTACTCAATAATTTGAAAAATCTACAATTTAAAATATTTCTAATAATAGTGGATTTGATTTAGTTTTTACAAATTCTTGATTGAATAACATGGATGTTGAAGTGATTTTAATTGGTTTTATATAAATTTCATATTCAATAACATAGATTTTGGTAAGATATTTAGAAATCATTAGTTGAATAACATGAAATTTTAAATAACTACAAAGTCTTTTAAAATTTGAGATTCTGACAAAAATGACCTAAAATTTGATTTGAAATGCAAATCTAACCCACAAAGATCACCTTCCCAACATTTGCCATTTTGTGTCCAAACAATCATTCATAGCTTCAGTTATTCACGAAATTGACATTGTTTTTAATTAATTTCTTTTATTTTCGGAAATCCAAATGACCAACTAATCCTCATATTCCTCACTTATTTACGAAAATACGCCGAAAGTAGACTTCTCTCGGTCCAAATGAAGCCTGCTAGTCAACGTCCATGTTAGTTTTGCAATTGACCGCATGAAAAAGTAGATTTCTTTAGGTCAGAATGAAGTCTACTCCATTTCTTTTGATAACAAAAAAATAGAGTAGACTTCTCGAGTAGACTTCTTTAGAAGCAGCTCATTTTTGCAATTGACCAACCTTTGATTTTGTAGAGTAGACTTTCCTAAGTAGACTTCTGGCAGGTCATTTTTGCAATTGATCAAAAAGTCAAATATTTTTCAATTGCAAAAATGACTTGCGAGAAGTTTAATCTGAAAAGTAGACTTCGCGGAGAAGTCTACTTACAAAAGTAGACTTCTCGCAGGTCATTTTTGCAATTGACCAAAAAGTCAAATATTCTACAATTGCAAAAATGACCTGCGAGAAATCTACTTACGAAAGTAGACTTCTCCGAGAAGTCTACTTTTTATGGAGAAGTCTACTAATCTTTTGGCAATTGCAAAACTAACTTGCGAGAAGTCGGGATCCTTCCTTGTTTCTCGGGATTTGGTCGAGCTAGAGCTCGACCTCGCCGAACGGAGCGTCTTACCGCTCGAGAATGGATCGTTGAAAAGTGAATGGACCCAGACCGTAAGGTCAAAACCCAGTCTATTTGGCTTAGTTTGGACCTGATCGTTAGACTTGAGTAGGCCGGATTTGAGGTGTCAAATCCAGCTCCAACAGATGGGTAACCCGATTTTGTTATGGATGAATTGTAATATCTCATATTAATTAAAGGTTTAAAGAACATTGACTACGTTTTGGTTTAAAAAATAAATCACAAAAAATTATCAAATATAACGGAGATATTTCAGCTCAAAAGTTTTATGAGAGGATATCTCAACCATTGATCCCAATTATAAAAAAAAACCAATTATTAAATGTTCATATAATGTTACTTAGGAAAAAATGAATTCATGATATGATTATGAATGCAGTCGGTAAAAAGAAAAAAGAAAAACTCACAAAAATCTCACAGTTGAGGCGCGGTATTGTGCAAATTGCAAAAGCACCTCGTTAGGGTTTTTCTTCGGGGTTTTGTGTTTCCTTCTCATCGATTCCATCCTCCGCAGATATCCCTAGCTTCCGCTGCTAGTTTCTCGTCTCCGACCTAGTAATGGTCACGCCGAAGGAGTTAGTGGCAGTAGTACAGTCGTCGCTTCTCGGAACGTCAGGTACAACTCCAACGCAACGAATCGAGCTCACTCATGCCATTCGCAGCTCCTTTTCCTCTATTCAGAACCTCCTTTCAAACCCGGTACTCGATTTGGCTCCTTCTCGTTGCTTTGAATTTCAACTTTTCTGGGTACCTTATTGAGCTTTGAATTAATTTTATCTATTTCAGCCCCCGAAGCAGTCCGATAGAGCGCAAGTTCAGTCACGAGAAATTCGACTTCCGAATTCGTTGCCAATATCTTTGGATGACCAAGATGTCGCGATTGTAAGTGCTTTGTGCTCCTCAGATTTCTGAAATTTCACACTTCTTCGTGGTCTGATGGAGGTTGAGATTTTTAAATTTATGATATGAACAGTACAGAGCGATTAAAGCAAAATTATCTCTAGTTATGGTTTTCTAAGTAGATTGTTTAGGAAGACAGAATATTGCTGTTAGTTTCTTCACCATATTAATGTGGTAGAATGCGGTTGTTTACTCCTTCAGAAGACATAGAAGTAAGGCACATGTGCTTTCGTTTCTTAGGGAAATTATCTCCTAATGATTTGTTAAATCAACCAGTTGGCTTACAATTAGAACCTTTTGGCTATTGTTGATTTTCTTGATCTTCAGAGAAAGGTCATTGCACTTTCGTCGTATAATCCTAGTGTTTTGAGATATATGTGGTGGTGATTTATATTGTTAATACCTTGCTGTTTCAGTAATAGGTTAGCTGCTATAGCCTTAAGATGAGTCTATGTTCAATATTATATGACGGACTATGTTTTTCTTTCATGGCTATTGATTGTAGAGCTTGAAACTGAGCGATGAGCTTCACCTAAATGAGATAGATTCTGTTCGTCTGCTCGTATCTGCAAACCAGGAGGTGCATATCCCTTCACTTTGCTCTCACTCCAACCCTTCAACTTCTAAAAGTTCTGGAGCTATTTTCTGGGATATTGCCTTATATTTTATCCTATGCTTAGTGCGGCTTGATGGGACGGGATCCACTTGAGATTCAACGGCTTGCAACTGGACTATGGTATACAGGGAGAAGAGATCTTACAACAACGCTCTACACACTACTGAGGGTAGCTAACACTCATATTATATATCTGGCTTTTTTCTTGTTTTGTTCATTGCTTTTCTTCATTACCATTTTTCTTGGTGGAACAGGCAGTTGTTCTGGACCAGGGGCTTGAACCTGATCTTATAGCTGACATTCAGGGACTCTTAGAAGATCTGATTAAATCTGGGCTCAGACAACGGTTGATTAATCTTATAAAGGTATTAACGGGCTTAGGTTCTTCTGTGATACATCCTCCGAGGTTTCCATCTAAGAGTGCTGTATATACGTACTTAAATAACTTCTTGCTGTGCAATCTGTTTATTACTGCATGGATTTCTTCGGAAGCACTCATCTTGTATCTAATCGTTCTAATTACTGCAACTATTTTCTTGTTCGTTGAGTATACATCTGTTAGCTACACCATTTTAATTTAGTTTCCATTTGTTTCTCATGATTTTAGAGCTTTAACAATCTTTATTCCGATTAATTAGTCGAAGTTTTTCCAAGCTTTTCAAATTTTGACGTGAGTAACTATTACTTTAGTGCACATTGAACCATTGTGCAAACATAAGGTATTGAGACTATTAAAATGTTGTCCTCATCGCGAAAATGATTGTTACCTTGTTAGCTGTTGCATCTTCTCTATGATGTTATTGTTGTTTATACTTCCTAATTCTTTTATTATCAACTACACAATATTTATAGCTCAAGGCACTTGGTGATTTTACATCTTATGCAAGCGTCTTCTTTGAGATGTGTTTTTAGCTGCGTCTATAGAAGCTTTATATTCGAAGATTGCAATTACATTTAGTGTAACATTTATATTAACGTCTTTCTCTGCATTCATCAATATAGGTTTAAGCTGACTCTTATAAATATATTGATGTATTTTGGCTCTACATCAAATGAATCAACATATTCCTTACTACACTCGGACAATCTAATGACTGTCTCCTAACTCAATTATCTTCATAGCTGAACATTTGTTGCAAAAGCATGCTTTAATCTAGTTAATATATAAGATGTAGTTAAAGTCGTTTTAGAAGATCTTGCGACTTAATTTTTTTTGTTTTGTTTTTCTTAGGCATTATCATATTATGATTGTCATATAGTGAATTCTTTGTTGTTAGGAACTCAATCGGGAGGAACCTTCTGGCCTAGGTGGACCCTTATGTGAGCGATACCTTATTGACTCACGAGGTGCTCTTGTTGAACGACGAGCTGTTGTTCATAGGGAAAGACTGATCCTTGGACATTGCCTTGTTCTTTCGATTTTGGTTGATAGACCTGGTAAGTTTCTTCATCTTTTATAAAGCTTTTGCACGAAGAAGAATGCCATTTGTAAAGAAATTCCGTTTCTGAATATTGTGCTTTTTGTTAGTTTTATTTTATACCATAGTAAGTGAAACTATTTATAAGGGGTTCATCCGCTTGCTAGGACACTTCATATGCCAGGGAATTTAGGTCGTTGCTCAATGTGCTATGAAATGTTTTCTGTTTTCATATATATATAATTGCTATGTCTGTGTAGATATGCTTGAATGTGCTTGCATGTTTGGTTGTAGTTGAGTATCATATGTGATTTTGGTGTTGATAATTTGATATACATTCTCCATTCTTCTGATCTCACGTTTAAAGAATTCAAATATTGTCTCTTTTTAATGGATATTAAATGGTTTATACATCAGATTAAAACACTCTTGTTATATTATATCTTTTAATTTTGTTCTGAGCACATTTTCTATTTTATTTTCATGCTTTTAACAAATTTGTTCTTCGCAGGTCCAAAAGATGTGAAAGATATATACAATGTTTTGAAAGATAATGCAGCTCAATTAACGCAAAGAAATGAAACCATAAGTTATCAGGTTCATACTAATTCTGTTCATAGCTTAGTACTATTGGGGCTTCCTTCTCTGCTTATAATATTTTTAATGTTTTATTTTCTGCAAATGGTTGTTTTTTATGTTGCAGATTACATTTAGTCTTCTGTTTTCTCTCATCATCACCTTCGTATCAGATGCTATCAGCGCACTATCTGATAAGTCATCTATGATTTCTCAAGATGCTTCATTTAGGACAGAGTTTCAGGATATGGTAAGACAGTTGATACATTTTTTCTGTCGCTTCTTCTCCATGTCACCAAAAACCTTCCGCTACTGACACTTGAAAAAACACTTCTGGCGACGTCCTAATCACTTTTCAGGTCATGGCTCCTTGCAGTGACTTCACTGCTGATGGCTTCATTGGTGGCTTAAGGCTTGCCTGGGCTGTGCATTTAATGCTGATATATGATGGAATAGCTGGAATGGATACAATTTCCACCGCTTCGACAACAGATATGGGGCACATATGCTTTTGCCTGGAGTCCATCTTTTCAAAAAATGTGTTTCAATTTTTGCTGGATAATGTTCTTCAAACTGCAGCCTACCAGGTACTTTGATTTTAAATATCTTTGCCAGGAATTCTGTGTGCTCAGTTAATGTCCATCAAATGGCTATCTGCATTCCCTCCGCACTTAATATCATTTGACGAGCTAGCGGAAGAACTACATGAATTTCTCAGCTAGTGGATGACATGCTTGAACTCCTAAGCTTTTCATGAAGATGAATTCTGATATAGATCTCTACTTTAGTTGGTGGAATTTTGTATTGAATGAGATATTATGCATGAATCATGACTGGATGGGAAAAAGAGATATTTCCTAATGGTTCCTGCTATGTTATATTCATTCATGACAACTGTAGTACATATTTTATGTTTCTTTTTAATGGTTTTATATGTTGGCCTGCATGGATGCCGTCTTTATCCTTCCATGAATCCAGGCTTTGCTTGATTTGTCATTCCCAGATGGGGTACTCCCATATCCTTATGCTCATTTTTCTGCCTCAAACCACTTTGCATATCTATTAATGATTTCGATACTCAAGAATAGGATTTTGTTATGTTGGTGTCCGGTTGGTTTTTCTCTTGGATGTCATGCGTGTAAAATCTCTAGGATTTTGCTTAATTACTTGGTTCTCGATTTTTAAGTTTCGTTTCAGTTTTTTTCTTTTTGATCTTTGATTTTACTTAGTCAACCCTGATTCCCTTCTCGTGTGGATCAATCAACGATTGACAGTTTGTTAGTTGCGACATATGCAGAATGATGAGGAGGACATGGTCTACATATATAATGCGTATCTGCACAAGTTAACTTCTTGCTTTTTATCTCACCCGATCGCAAGAGATAAGGTTTGTTAAGTATAATACCTATATAAACCAATGTACATTTACCTAGCTTTAGTTATTAAAGTTTGAACACTGCAACTTAATCATGTAAAGCCTGGTAACTTTTCCTCCCTAAGTCCATAGTGTGATTGAGACAAAAAATTGGTGGTATATGCTCTAAATTCAGGGGATTATCTTTTTTGATGCATCAGTCACATATTCCGAAAATTTCAGCTTGATCACTTTTAGGTTATGAGTGGCATAGAAACTTCAAATTTTTAACGACTGCACCTAAGATCATGTCTATTATCTGATGTTTCGATAGTGTCTGATAAGTTGAATATATGAGCCAAGATTACAAATACAACGGCGCATCTGCATGATTATCTCCTGCGTTAAACCTGCTCATCCTTATTATTCAGGTGAAGGAATCAAAGGACATGTCTATGAGTGTTCTAAGTTCTTACCGAACTGGTGATTCACTTGACGGCAGCATGCAGACTGAAGAGGCTGACAGGCCGCTGCCCTTTATTTCCCTTATGGAGTTTGTAAGCAAAATATATCAGGTAATGAACCCCTAGCCAATAGAGCAGTTATTTCTTTTTTATTGTAGCTAATTTGTTTCTCATAGCAAAACAAGGAATACTCAGAATTCGACTCGATCATATTTTGTTTTCTTATAGTCTATTCTTGATTTTGTGTCTTTTGATCTTTTGAATTCGACTCGATCACAGAAGGAACCTGAGCTACTCTACGGGAATGATGTCTTGTGGACATTTGTGAATTTTGCTGGAGAGGACCACACAAATTTTAAAACTCTTGTGGCGTTCTTGGAAATGCTGTGTACCTTGGTATGAGAAGTCTTGAGATTGGTATTTTGGTGAGACCTCATTTACTTGGTCACTCATCGACTTTCCTTGCTGCCATCTTTTCTTAATTTCAGGCTTCCACTCAAGATGGTGCTTCTAAGGTTTATGAGTTGCTCCAAGGTACAGCATTTCGGAGTATAGGATGGGCTACTTTGTTTGATTGCATACGAATTTACGACGATAAGTTCAAGCAGTCTCTTCAAACTGCTGGAACCATGATGCCAGAGTTCCTGGAAGGCGATGCAAAAGCGCTTGTTGCATATCTGAATGTTCTTCAGAAGGTTATATAACATTCTTCCAAATAAATTCTGTTTAAATTTTCATTCCACATTTAATATCCTTTTTGTCTTAAGATAATCCAGCTTGTGTCTAGGAACTTAGCTTAACTGCGATTTGGTTGTAATTGTTTACATAAATGCTTTCTCTTTTCGAATGGATCCTTACTCATCTGTGAAACTGATGTTTGAGCATACTTGCAAATTCTCCCTTGTCTGGGAGGGATATGGGAATAAGTTGTGTAAACAATCTTGCAAATACTTCCACATCTGTGAAACTGATGTTTGAACTGCATATATTTTTTGTGGTCAATTAGTGAGTTTTTCCTATTCTGCAGGTTGTTGAGAGTGGTAATCCTACTGAGAGGAAAAACTGGTTTCCTGATATTGAACCATTTTTTAAGCTTCTTGGCTATGAAAACGTCCCTCCATATCTAAAGGTCTGTGGCATGCTGGATATTTTTCCTCTTACACTTTGACTCACAGATGATCTGTGGAAAGCATTTGGCATCAATATCTATTTAACTTGTTCATGGTAACTGTATTCGCTTGCAGGGTGCTCTTAGGAAAACCATTGCTGCCTTTGTTTATGTCTTTCCAGAAATGAGGGACTCTGTCTGGGCATTTCTTGAGCAGTATGATCTGCCGGTTGTCGTGGGATCACCGGTGGGAAAGAGTGACCAATCTTCTCAGGTAAGTGCATCGCTGCAAGGGGAATTTTATTAGTGGATATTTGAACTGTACTTCTTTAGTTAATATTTATACTCTTATCAGATTAGAGTTTTATTATTCTGCATTATTTTCTAACTTTTTTTATTTATGCATTAAAGAAGGTTTGTCATCTTGCAAAGATGATTGATATCATTTTTTTTCCTTTACAAAGTTGATGTTTGTCACCAAAAATTTGATATTTGTTTTATTCCTGCGAAAACTTCATCTTATTCCGAGTGTGAAAGACTTTCCTGAGTACTCACATAACCCATTGTACTCTGTTCGGTTGGTATATTATGTATTGTTGGATGCAGCTTTTGTTTCCCAGGTGGAGAGAGTCTTTGGCTTATTTTGAAACCTAATGAGGATTCTTTTATATGCAGGTCTATGATATGCAATTTGAGTTGAATGAAATTGAAGCAAGGAGAGAACAATATCACTCAACAGTTTCTTTCCTAAATCTGATTAACTCTCTGATTGCCGGAGAGAAAGATGTAACTGATCGTGGGCGTAGGTTTATCGGCATCTTCAGATTTGTTTATGATCATGTATTCGCCCCTTTTCCTCAGAGGGCATACTCAGATCCTTGTGAGAAGTGGCAATTGGTTGTGGCAAGCCTTCAACATTTTCACATGTAAGCTTTTGCTTCTATTTCCAATACTTTCCTCTTTCTTGCTCAATCCACAATATGGTTTCTGATATTCTTGCAAAAATAAGGGCATGTTTTATATGTTGTTATGCTTGTTAAACTGCCCAAGTGTACATAGCTTTTGTAAATTCCATCAGTTTTCATTTAGGTCACAACTTGTGTTGAAGACTTGATTAACATTTTTTTTTGCATTTCACTTCAGGATTTTAAGCATGTATGATATCCAGGAGGAGGATCTTGATGGATTTACTGAGCATCCGAATTTTTTGGCGTCAGTTGAAACATCGTCACTGCAAACGCAGCTTCCAGTTATAGAATTATTAAAAGTACTTATTTAAAACTTCTGCGTTGTTTTTACTGTTTCACAGTGGAAACACAATTCTAATCTCAAGTAGGTATGTTGTATACAATAAATAATTGGTCCGACGTTTCTCTCTGTCAGGATTTCATGGGTGGGAAAACTCTTTATAGGAACCTAATGGGTGTTCTTCAGGTTGGGGTGAATTCTATCATGAGCGAGCGAATCAGTAAAACTTACGGGAAGATTTTAGAAAAGGCTGTACAACTTTCTTTTGAAATCTTACTGCTCGTCTTTGAGAAGGATTTGCTTGTTTCCGATGTCTGGCGTCCGCTGTACCAGGTACTTGCTTGTTCTTATGATGCATCAAAGCTTTACTTTGTGTATCACCCAATTTCTCAAACTCCTTGATGTGTAGTAAGAATGCAGTTACATCTATAAGTAGTTTTTTTCAAAGAGTACTCATATGTTCTCATGAACCGCAGTCAGAGCTTTCTGATACTGTCTAGGAAGTTGACATCATCCGTAACCAAGTTTAGCTATTTCATCAATTTATATTTCCAACCCGATACTAGGACATGTATTCTGGTGATATTGAACAGTTTGTTCGTCTAGCTTCTCTCGAATGTGACCAGCATTCTATTTCCTTATCCACAATGAATGTTTGTGTCTTCGAGTATACCATTCAATTGAGGTTACCAACTTCAAATCAAAGATGAAGAGTCTAAAACTTAATGCAATAATCCTTTTATTGTTGTGATCGTAACCTACTTGACTGATAGCAATAAAAAGTTAAAAGTATTCCTTCCCCATCCTGTAGTTAAGTTAGTTTATCTTTACTCCATTATTGAGTTGCGTGGTGTAGAATGTGAAACTGGACACTGTTGTTAATTTGGTTATTGCTTGAAGACTCTTTGAATTGGCGCCCCACCGGCTATAGTATGAACAATATATATTTTGTTTTATAAAGCACAATCAGCATGCCCCTTCCTTGTTTTTATGTTATACGCACAAGACGTCAAGTAACTTAATGTCCACTTCTGTTATTGCTGCAGCCTTTGGATATAATTCTCTCTCAAGATCATAATCAAATTGTTGCCTTGTTGGAGTATGTCAGATATGATTCTCTTCCTCAGATTCAGAGATCTTCGATCAAATTGATGAACATCTTAAGGTGCTAACAAATTTTGTTAGAGCCATATCTTTTCATTGCTTTGTAGTCTGTTCTTCCACATGTAACTTGTTTTCTCAGACAGCATTGGCAAATACTAATATGAACTGCGTCCAGGTCCCATGGCTTTTGGAAGTTTGATTGATTTTCGTTTCTTTTTTTTATTAGTTTAATCGTGAGATTTTAATATGAGTTACCTGGGTATTAACTAATCATATTCTTGATGACAGTTCTCGCTTGGTTGGACTCGTTCCAATGCTGATTAAAATGAATGCTGCGAATTCCTTGATTGAGGATTATGCGTCCTGTCTTGAGCTACGACTGGAAGAGGGTGAAGTCGTAGAGAACAGTTCTGATGATCTGGGGGTCCTTATAATGCAGGTTAGTTTGATTAATTAATGGTTTCACTTAATAGGATATCATACTAAAAGAATGAAGTTGTAGAGAACAGTTCTTACATATTGTCTTTCAGGGTGATTGATTCATCCGTACACCTTATATCATTGCTATTACATTTGTAGCTTCTGGTTGATAATATCAATCGGCCTGCACCAAGTATCACACATTTGCTTCTAAAGTTTGACCTGGATTCCCCCGTGGAAGGGACAGTTTTGCAGCCCAAGTTTAACTACAGGTTTGATTGTAATTTGTATGAAGTTTATGATGTATTTCTCTCAACCATAATCTTTATTTCTGTTTTGCAATCTGTAGTTGTCTGAAGATCATTCTTGAAATGCTGGAGAAACTTTCAAACCCTGACATAAACTTCTTACTCTTTGAGTTTGGCTTTCAAGTAAGAGAAGCTGATACAGGATGATAATTATCTTGTCTTTTCAAAGAAGCGAATTCTATTTGGTCTATTGTCTTTTTTACCAAACTTTTACTATTTGCAGCTTTTGTGTGAGTTGAGTTTGGATCCATTAACTAGTGGTCCAACCATGGATCTCTTGAGCAGCAAAAAATATCAGTTTTTTCTTCGGGTACACTAGAGTTTCTTCTCATTATACTTGAACGATGCCATTCTTTCTCCGGTGGCTGCCTCATCCAAGGCACAAATTAGACTTATTTTTCACCCATCCTTACTTTCTTATATGCTTCAATGTTGCAGCATCTCGATACCATTGGTGTTGCTACTCTTCCAAGAAGAAGTGGTAGCCAGGCTCTCCGTATTAGTTCCCTTCATCAGGTATCTGCTTAGTTACATGCCGGTATCATCCCAGTTTCACTCTATGCTATCAACCATTTTTGAAATCTGATATCTTTTTCTGAAATGTCAACCGCCTATATGCAGTATTTCTTTTTTTCCACTCATCATGCCTAGTATTTTTCGAACTGACCAGTCACTTTTTTAAAAGATTTTGCACTTGACTATTTTAGATTTCTTTTTATTTCACATTTCCACTCGAAATATAAAAAGAAAATATATCGATTTTTGTAGATAATTATGAATTTATGATTAGAATATTAATCCAAATTTTAAAATAAAATAAATTTGATATCGAATGCTACATTAAAAAGAAAAAAAAACTTATGTATAAGCTAGTCATACCATTTGATTATCTTGACAAATTGAAAAAGCTGATCATATTATGGTCATAGTGTGATGGCGGTTGAGCAATTATGTCTATGATCATACGATCACAGTAAATTTTATTTTTCTTCCCATGTCCAAATGATACCATCTATATACGCAATATTTCTTCAGGCTCCTTCATTGAAAAAAAAAATGATAATTTGCACATATGCACTATTTCTTTTTATGGTGGCACCTTAAAATTCCGGTAGGTAGATTTTTGGCTTATCTGTATGTAATTTCTGTTTTGCTATGTTACTGTTATGTTTCGCCTCTATGTCATATGTGGTGAAAATATTGTATACACGCAACTCTTTTTTCTTTAGTAATTGTTTCTATTATGTGAATGTGTTCCTTGAACAGATCAATGACATGATAATAATTTATTACAATATTACAGAGTCCGTTCTGATACTGCTTCTTATTTTCTCAATCTCTACCTTCCTCAGAGGGCGTGGCTACTAAAGCTCCTAGCTATTGCATTGCATACTGGTTCTGGAAGCAGTTCAGCCCACCTAGAGGCATGTCAGAGCATACTTTCTCATCTTTTTGGGCGGGAGGGAACCGAAGCAGGGAATGAACTTTCTTCTTCCAGTTCATACACTCTTCAGGATGGGCTTGATTATAGTGGAACTAGTTCAATCAGTAAAAGTAGGGTAAGTTTTAAAACGTCAGTAATTTAATGCATTGGTCTGAGAGTCTACCATTTTATTTATGAGACGGTCCATGCATGATACACATAACTGTACTGACCCTATTTTTGAAGTCAGCAGCATGCACATCACCCAACAGTTAACTTTCCTTGAACAGTCGTAGTTAATAAAGTTTAATGTCGTCTTTTCCATGCAACAGCAATTTCTTTCACTGGACTTTTGAAAAAAATGCTGTAAATGTCATCAGTTCCTGCATAGTCTGAAGATGTTCATGGGTGCAGCTTTCTTACTTTTGTTTCTTCTTTTGAATTGAGTTCAGGTATTGGCGTTGCTTGAAATACTCCAGTTTAGATCTCCTGATGCTTCGATGCAGCATCCTCAAATTGTGTCAAGCCGAAAGTATGACACGCTGGTAAGGGTTTATAAATATGGCGGTATGTCAATGTTAAGTATATTTCTCTGAATATGAAGTTTGATTACAGGTGGAGGACATACTTGGGAACCGTGATACCTCTGTTAGCGGCAGTATCTATTATATTTCTGAGCGTGGTGATCGCCTGATTGATCTATCTTCCTTCAGTAACAAACTCTGGCAGGTTTGTTCTTGCGATAGTGGACACCAGATCTTCTCTCTAACAAACATTTATGTTTCTCCTGTAATGAAATATACATGCTGATTAATTCACTGTTTGTTTAGAAACTACATTCTGGATTTCCCCTAGTAGATACTTTTCCAAATGCTGCTGAGCTTAATGAAGTTAGAGAGACAGTTCAACAGCTGTTGAAATGGGGGTGGAAGTATAATCGAAACCTTGAGGAGCAAGCTGCCCAACTTCATATGTTAGCTGGCTGGTCTCAGATTGTTGAGGTTGATTGCTTTCTTTAGAAAATTAGATCGGCTTTAGTATCATGAGTGTGTGCCACTCTTTCAAGAAATCAAGTATTAATCTTATGTTCTGCTTCATCTGTTTTTGTTAAGGTGTCTGCTTGCAGAAGAATATCTTCTCTGGAAAATCGGTCTGAAATTTTGTACCGGTGAGTACCTTTGGTGCCAGAGGGTATTTGCTTTTGAAGCTTTCTTGAACATTGCATGACTTATTCTTCTCTGGTCGTTGGCAGGATACTTGATGCCTCTCTAAGTGCCTCTGCTTCTCCAGATTGTTCATTAAAAATGGCGTTTGCACTCACTCAGGTGCATTTTAGCCTTTGAGTAAATTCTATTGTAATAATGTGCTGTCCATGTACTAACTTTAGGTTCTAATAGGTCGCCCTTACCTGCATTGCCAAACTTCGTGATGATAGATTTTTGTTTCATGGTGCCTTGAATTCTGACACAGTGACGTGTCTAGATGTTATGGTTGTAAAACATTTATCCACTGGTGCTTGCCACTCCGTTCTATTTAAACTTGTTTTGGCAATTCTAAGGGACGAGTCATCGGAATCCTTGAGAAGGCGGTATGTTTCTAAGTTCCATTTTTTTTGTAGTTTTACATGGTTATAATACAACATCAAGTGACATATTTTTAGAAGGCGGCCAGGTGATATATTTTCAGTATTTCCCGTTTCTAAAACAATTTTTTCTCCGTCAGCCAATATTCATTGCTCTTGAGCTATTTCCAGTACTGTCAGCATATGATTGCTCTGGATGTGCCAACATCAGTCGTGCAGTTCTTGTTGCTTAATGAACAAGATGGTGAAGATTTGGATATCCAGAAGGTATGTTTTTTGCTGATTAGCTGAGACTTATTTTGTTCAGACCATGTTCCAACCTTGATTTTTGTTTTTGTTTTTCAGATTGACAAGGAGCAGGCTGACCTTGCTCGTGCCAACTTTTCTATAATAAAGAAAGAAGCTCAGGGCATCTTGGATCTGGTACTTGTTACTTGGCCATTCATATGAACCATAATGATTTGCACTGTTTCACATTGAGAATATGAATTTCAGGTAATCAAAGATGCATGTCAAGGCAGTGAGTTTGGGAAAACGATATCACTTTATGTGCTGGAAGCCCTTATTTGTATTGATCACGAGAGATATTTTCTTAGTCAGCTTCAGAGCAGAGGTTTCATACGCTCTTGCCTTGGCAGTATTAGTAATATTTGCTACCAGGTATTTTTCCTGTGGATAACTGATCGTGGTAATTGTTATTAATATTATAGAATCGCAAACATGTCAAATCTTCTTTGAGTGGCATTTTGCGGCCAATCAGCAGTTGCTTTGACTATCTGATCCACATGAAAAGTAGAGAACCTTATGTAACTCGTGTGTGTTTTATGGCACATTTACCGAGTAGGTATTGGGGATAATAATATTCATATGCTGCTAGTTTTTGTATTTTGGAGACATGATTTATTTATGGGTATACTTATTTCTACGACTTGCATTCATGCATGTGTATTTATATTATCGTTGGACACAGGATGGAACATATTTACTGGAGTCACAACAGCGAGCATGTACCTTAGACGCAGAATTTGCATTGTTACTTAGAATTAGCCACAAGTACGGAAAGTCGGGAGGTCAGGTTCTGTTCTCCATGGGCGCACTGGAACATATCGCCTCCTGTAGAGCTATCAGCTTCAAGGTAAAATGTTATATATAGTCATCATGTTTTCTATAGGCGATCTCGATATTTTCTCTGCTTATAAACCCAAAAGTACCTTCCAGGGAAATATGAGGCGGGTCGATATGAAGCTTCAGAGTGATGCAGGATTTGATGTGCAAAAGCAACGAACAACAATCACTGCTGTCTTAAGATTGGTGTTTTCTCTAACTTCATTGGTTGAGACCTCTGAATTTTTTGAGGTCAGCATCTTTTCTTTAGATGACCTTTGTTTATGATAAATTGCAAGCTAGACGATTTTTCTATGTAACCTGGTTTTCTTAAAATGCGAACTATAATTGCTTTTCTTCTCCTTTTTCTCTGGGCGTTTGATAGGGGAGGAATAGAATTGTTCGTGAAGTCGTTGAGTTTATCAAAGGACATCAATTGATTTTCGACCAACTTCTTCGTGAAGACTTAGCACAAGCAGATGATATATTGATGGAACAAATTATCCTTGCAGTAGGAATATTGAGCAAGGTAATTCATTGGCGTGCTGGAATTTTCTTGTTTTTTTTCTTATTGAAGGGTTGCTCCTCTTTTCGTAGTTGCATCTTCAAGACGGATCCCCGAAATATCACAAGCTAGTTAGGTGCATTTTAAAGTGAGTTCCTTGATTTGTAGGTCTGGCCATTTGAAGAGAACGATGGATATGGATTTGTTCAAGGGATGTTTGATATGATGAGCAAGCTTTTCATCGTCTCCCCCATTCAATCCGTATCATCCCGAGTAGGACAAGTAGTTCAGGTACATGGATGAGTATTCTAGTATGTCACAAGTTATTGGCATCTGGTCAATTTTTTTTTTTTTTTGGTTCAAAGGCATCTGGTCATCTATTCCTCGATTTCTTATATTCGTTGGGTTTCTCCTGTGTTTCCTCATCTGGTGGACAGAAGGGGTCAGAGCTCAAATGGTCTCAGTTGCGATTCAGCTTGACTTCTTACTTATATTTTTTGGTGACCAAAAATTATTTGAGGTTACAGGTACTGTTGGAGCTGTTTCCCTATATTTCTCCTGTCCACTCTTATTATTCAGTTGTTCTAATCAAACACAAGTAAATACTCATGTCCCTTTTCTGTCCCCCCCCCCACAGATGTCAGATGATTCTTCTGATAACTCCACTAAACTACGGCAACCAACGTTGATGCTGCTTGCATCACTTCTTTCGCATGTGACTGATTCCCTCGAGAGAGCAGCAGAGAAGAAGTCCTTACTCCTTCATAAGGTTAAATATTATCCTAATTCCTACTCTTTACATGTTTTTACTTTATATATATATTCAAAATTGTATAAGTATGATTTGCAGATCAGAGAAATTAATGAGCTGTCTAGACAAGATGTAGACGCGGTAATCAATATGTGTGATTGCCAAGAATATGTCACACCATCCGACAACATACATAAAAGGTTAGTGAATGCACGCCCAAAAAGAAGTACATTTATTCACATAGAATTTCCAACTTTTCCCTATTAAAGATCTTGAAATGTTGATGAAATAGATATAATGCTTTCCACCATTCACTTTAATCAAAAGTTGATGAAAGTAAATGTCACGTGAAGAGACAGTCACGTACTTTGGGCAATTGATGCCTGCAGAAAGATGCTTGACTCCTGTTCTTACGTGATTGTTTCCTGTTTCAAACCTCAGGAGATACATAGCTATGGTGGAAATGTGCAAAATTGTGGGCAACAGGGACCAGTTAGTCACATTGTTACTACAACTAGCAGAGCATATACTAAATATCATCCTGATCCATCTCCAAGATAGGTATGCCACTTTATCTTCAATAATTTATATCTTAAATTTTTTGTTAAGTTGGATATATTTTAATTTTCTGAAGGCTCTCAATCGTGGTGCTCCCTGACCAGTCTTGTGGATTATTTTAACAGTTCATTTACTTTAGTCTCGGCATACATTATGCAAATTGTGACAGTCAATTACTTATTTATATTATGTGTGGCTGCAAGTGCAAATCCCAAATATCGACTAGGTTTATGTATAGAAATGTATGATGTTTAAACGAATTGCTCTTGCGCTTCAATAGTAAACGCTTTTATTTACATCTGCAGATCTGTTAGTTCAAATGAAAGGGGATCATATGGTTCAAAATCCCATCAAAAACAAGATGTTACTGATCTCTGTGTCAAAGTGTCACCTACCACAGAAAGGCTTGCATTACTAAATGAGGTATATAGCCTAATCGATTTACAATTTTTTTACTTATTTATGTTCTGAAAGTGAAAGTTACTGACCCAACTCCATGATCGCAGGGAAAAATCGGACATAACCTGAAGGTGTTTCAGAGACTGGCGACTGCTGTAAAAGAAATGGCTGTCCAAAAGTGTTTATGGTAGGCTGGCTGCTCAAGAAATGTAGAGAATCGTATCTGGTGATTAAACGATTTCTTGTATGAAATGTCTAATTCTTAAATGTATTGTGGGTATGAATAACTGGGCACAGGGATTTAAAAAAAGAAATTGCACGGCGTCCACGAAATCTCACTTAGATCATGATTTCTGTGAGATTGGATTTGTTATCGCCTTATCCAGAACATCTTAAATCATATATCTATAATGTCAGATAACTTTCTCAGAAAGCACATCTGTTTCATAGAACATAAAAACCCGAAATAACACGAAGTTTATTAAGGTATAGTGCGAAAGTTTTTAAAAGTCGATATTTTAGGAATGGACTGCTTAACTAAATCCGTATTCTGGATTTTTTTGGTTGGGAAAGCATTATCTCTCCTAGATTTTTGGTTCATAATTTTTTGGTTCATAAATGATTCATTAAAAGAGTTGGATCAGATCATTATCTGTTTGGAATGATTCTTGGCTCTCCCACTCACGCCATAGGTCAGCAATAAGCAATGGGTTCAATATGTATCATGGATGAGGTGATGATTGAGTTTCCATTGATTGATGTCACTAGAACCACTCCAGTGATTAAAAGATATGTGAAGAAGATGATCACTAAGAATCTGAGTCTTTAGCAAGGAGTGAAGATGATCACTGAATAGATCAATGCTGTGATTCAAAATAGAATTCCTGATGAACTTTCAGACCTTAGGAACTTTGTCTTGGACTGCATAATCTTCTCATAAAAATTTCAAAGATCCTTATGTGATCTTGGTTCTAGTGTGAACCTGATACCATATTCAGTTGCTAAGAGCATGAGCATGACTGATCTTAAAGTTACAAGGATCTCTCTTGTCCTAGCTGACAGATCAGTAAGGATTTCAAAAGACGTGATTGAGGATGTGCCTATCAAAATGAGAGATTGCATGATTCCTACAGATTTTGTGGTTCTGGATTATGGTGAAGAACCCAAAGATCCTTTCATTCTTGGAAGACCCTTTTTTGGCTACAGCTGGAGCCATCATTGATGTGGGAAAGGGAAGAATAGAACTGAATGTAGGCGATTTGGTGATGCATTTTGACATGGACAAGTTAAGAGGGAGTTCCACCATTGATGGTCGGTCTTTTTCTGCAAGGACTTCCATGGATGAAGATCAAATCAGGGAGCATTCAGATGACATTCCTGCTGGGTATGTCAAGGAGTTGGATACTAGTGAGCAAGTGAACAAGCTGGCTGTTCAAGAGGCTTTGGCTGAGAAATGTGAGAAAGTTGTTGAGCTAGAAGATTGGAGTGGAAACATAGTCGTTGATCATATCTGCAGGACTAGGCTCAAAGATGAGGTTATAATCAATGACAAGTTGTTGGAGCAAGACAGATTGTGGAACTGGATTACAGAAAAAGTGCAGAGAATCGAGTTGCAGGTTCGGTGTCGATCGACACCACTCCTGGCGAGGATCGACACCCTCAAAAGATCGATTCACGTTTCACAGCCCATAAGCCTCCATTAAAGCAAAGGTATGGACTTCCTAGAATCAATTCAAAAGCTTCTGATCTCATCAATAAGAATTTAAAAGGTGCTAAAAATTGCTTCACACTGATGCAAGTAACGAGATTCTCGTAGAAGGCTTAGTCTTTCTTTTGATGATTCTGTAGGAAAAAGAAGTGTCCCACCCAGAGTCAAAACCCGCCCTGCTGCTATTCCTCACTTCCTTGGAAGATTTCATGCACCTACTGCTTATACACCACCATGGATGATGAGACATTCTTCTCCGAGGCATTCAGTGCCACTTTCTGATCCACCAGATGTCTAAACCTTGACATAGGCAAGCTAATGACTGAAAACAAACGATTGGTGGGAGGCAACCCACTGGTAAGTCATCTAATTCATTAACATATGCTTACTTTCGTTCTACTAACAGTTAAAAAAAAATTTGAGTGGTTTAATGGAGTGGTGACGACCTAGATGGTCACCGAGGTAGACACCAAGGAGGGGTGACTGATAGGGTTCAGGTTTTACCCAAATAAAAACTACTGCAAGTGCACAGCAAAGCAGATATAGTATAAGGGGTATCGAAATCCCAAGAGAGTAATGCTAACTACACTATCAGTTACAGATTTGGACTAAGCTAAGCGAAATATGATGTATGTAATGCGAATGAATAATTAGAAATAAGCAAACGATGGTATGATATGTTCTAAGTTCAGGAAGACTAAAAGCGCTAAGCTAGGGTAATTCGCAGGTATGAATCCAAGAATGCAGAGTGCAGGGAATCAGGAATGATTAAGAACCGTTTTTAAACATGAATCTCTAATGCATAACTAATCAATTCTCATTGTAGAAGTTATCTATACCTAGATCACAGAGTTTCAAATCTCTTTACAAACCCTAACAACCTAAGTATGCAGGAATGATCAGATTCAATTGTTTACAAAACTCCTAAGCCAAATCTCTTTGTACTAAGTTGTTTTGCTCATCAAATACTAGTTCAGGTTATGAATAATGCTCTCACAAATATTTAACAACCTATGATTTTCGGATTCGTAGATGATGTGTCTCAGAAATTCGATTTTAAAGCAAGCAGAGATGAAAAACCATGAGATAATCCTAACAGATAGCGATTCTACACTCTTTTCATCAACCTTTGAAAAACCCTAACTTAACTAGCAGATTACTCAGACATGATTATGAGATCACAAAGCATAACTGAATAAAATTGCATTAAGAGAAAGAGTAGAAAACAAAGGGGGTTCGAAATCTTCTCTAAAGAGTACAGGATTTGTCTCCCCAAAAAGCTCTGAATAAAATCTCTCTCTAGCTCTCTCAATTCTCAAAACTAAGATTCTTGCCAACAGTGGCTGAAAAACCTAATATATAGGGGCTAAACACGATCTGGGGTCTTCATATAAATAAAGGAAACTTCTGGGTAAGTTCTGTAATTCTTCTTGATACTTTTAACAAATAGCCACACTCCTTCCTATCTGGGTGACGAGCGTCACCAATGGGGTGACGATCGTCACCATTAGTGAATACTTTCTGCTTCGATCTTGGTACTTCGTGGCTTCAACTCAGAATGCTCCAAAAGGTTCCAATATCTCCAATTATGCTCCAAACATGCTTTAACCTGCAAAGACTCTTCTAAGACTCTAAAAAGACCAAAAAGACTCAATAAAAAGGACTTATATCATGGTTAAAAACCATAAAAACCATGATATATCAACTCCCCCAGACTTAGCTTTTGCTTGCCCTCAAGCAAACATCAGATAGAGTACAGGGTCGAGGTTTGAAAACAAGAAACAGTCAGTCAGTCATCAGAAACACCACACTAGTTAAAGCTTTCGAATCCACATACCACAGAGTCAACACAAGATCAAATTTCAGTCTAATTATCACAAGCTTAGCAAATCTCTCAAGTCCAGTCCAAATCCCTTCAAGAAATCCGAAACTTCTACTGTTAACTCCTTAATTTTTTAATCTAAGTGTGAAGTCTCATCAAGGCTCTATCATCTTAATCACTTTACAGATTCTTTTCCCTTCCTAACAACTTAACAAATCAATCTCAACACAACTCTCCTATTTTCTCTTCCATTAATCTTTTTCTTTAGGATATTTTCGATTTTTCACTTCTTTTTCTCAATTTTTACAGTCTAAGATATGGTGCTACTCAATACTTGTGTTCCTTGTGAGGAGACAGGTTCATGAGTGTGTTCACTACTGTTGTTCCTTGTGAGGAGACAAGGTCATGAATGCACCACTCTTTGGACTTAATTTCTTTTAAAAACTACATCAGGGAAAATCAAAGAGAGACTGTATTTTAACCTTATTGTCAGTGCTTAAAGAGAGAATCAAGATCAATAAGAATCAATCACCAAGACAAGAAATTTAAAGTTCATTAAGGTGGAGCTAACAGCAAATTTTCCAGATTCTCTAAGAATCTAAACCTTCATTGCTAGACTGATCTACCTATGACTTTCAACTTAGTAAGACTTGTAATCAACTACTGTGGCAATGGTTCTTATCAGCAAAAACGTCCTATGGCTAGTTCCAAGAAAAACTAACAGTTTCAAAAATTTTGACTCTAGAAAAACAGGTATTTTTACTCAACTTTAAGACTCTATAAACATGACACAAAGCACACAACGTCAGTAACCACCTCCCCCAGACTTGAACAACACTGTCCCCAGTGTTATTAAGCCAAGAGTTGGTCAGAAAAATGAATGAGAAGTCGAAAAACCAAGTCAGAAAAGTGTTACCTCGCGTGGGGTCAGGTGACGAGCGTCACCAATCTGGTGACGAGCGTCACCACGACCTGTATTGCATAAATCTTATGGTAGATGTTAATTAACGAAGTGTTTGCATGTGTACTCGAAAGTTAGACTTTTTGAGCATTCAAACACATAATTAACAACATCCAAACATAGCAATAATAACCTGGTTCAACAATCTCACAAAACATCATCAAAGAAACTGACAACTGACTCAAAAGAAACATAAAAATGACTCAAAAGAAAGAAAAATAAAAAGGGAAAAAGGAACAAGTAACCAGATAATGAAGCCTCAATCCTCATCCTCACAAGGCTTAGTAGTGTAGTGGGGGCGGACACAACCACAGTTGCTAAGTGTAGCAACAGCATCCCAGAGTCCCTCAAAGCTATCAATTACATACTCCTGAAAAGCAGCCATATCCATGGGTGTCTATGGTCGTGGAGGACGCCTGAAGGCAGCAGAAGAGTCACTCTGACGCGTAGAAGGTCCAGCATCAGTAGCAGCAGCAGTAGAAGCAGAGGGACCAGCTGTAGCAGCTCTTGCAGGGCGCAGAGTCAAGGGGCGCAGAAGAGTCTGTGCTGGCATGAAGAATAGCTGGCGTGGGTCTGTCTGGATAGTAGTGAGTGCTCTCTGTGGCAACTTAATGCCAACATACTCTCCAAAAGTAGTAGTAAAAGTCCAGACAACTCCGGTCTTCATCCAAGTGACATGGCGCAGATACTGCTCATCCATAAGCGATCTATCACTGCGTAGACTGCAAGGGGTAACATCGATCTGGAAATGATGGAAGATTGGTGTCAACAAGCTGCCCACACTCTCAGTCTTCTCCCCTGGACTGGTGAATGGCTTGGTCTTCAAAGAGACCAAATGCTCAGCGAAAACAGCACCTAAGTTGGCGCGAACCATACTATCAACTGGTATCGAATCATCCAGCATCTCATAAAGTCCGTAGTAAAGGAGAATCAGCTCGCTAACTCGAGTCTTGCTGGGCGCAGACTTGCACAGAATAGTATGACCAAAGAGGCGCAGAAGGTACCTCAAAACCAGATGTCTAACCTCTG